AATACCTCATGTGTCCTCTCAATTATCTACAAACCAACAATTTAAAGTGTATTTCTCCTTGTTAATCAGTCAACAAGAAGCCCAGATTTGCCAGAATGCTTAAGGTATCTATAATTATTAGCACATCTTACAGGCAAAAAAAAAAAAAAAAAAAAAAAAAACCTGACACTTATGACAATTAAGTTTCTTGCTCAAACTTACGTTGTTTAGAAACGCAACCAAAAATTTAACTCAAGACCTTCTGCCCTAAGGCTCTGACCCTCTTACAGTATCGAGGACCCTGAATGAACATCAAGGTTTTCATGAAGTATCAGTCATCCAGCTCTTCAGGAACAGAGTGAGAAAGACAGAAAGTTCAAGGCCTGCCTATGCTACACAGTGGGTTCAAACCAGCCTGGGGAATCTGTTCACAATAAAGTGACTAGATTCTGCCTCAAAACTGAAAGTGTTAAGAGGCCTGGGGATGTAGTTCAGTGGTAGAGATGTTTATTCAGATGCATGAGACCCTTGATTCAATGCCTAAGACTTCAAACAAAATAGACAAAAAAAAAAAAAAAAAAAAAACTAAGAAGGGAAATTAACAAGAAATGGAAAAATTGGTCACGAGATTATCTTGTCCTTATCTTCCTCTGTGTTTTCTTGGGGGCGGGAGGGATTGAAATTAATATTTTAATACAGGATCTAACTCTGTAGTCTAAGCTGGACTAAATTGGTGACCCTCCTGTCTCAACTTCCAGAGGGTTGAAATTGCAAATGTGAGCCACCATGCCCAGTTTGTTACTTCTCCAAAGAAAAAGAAAAAAAATAGAACCTATAAGATTACAGAAAAGATGAAATTAATAGAACAATAAAAGAAGTCCCAAAGAAAAAGTTAGATAATATATAAAATGTTAAACTTCTGCCTATAAAACGTATGAGCAAAATTTTGCATCTGCTAATGGCTTACTCATTTTTAAAAGTATTAAGGCCCTATATTGGGCAAGTCAATTACATGCTACATACAAGTCTCAATAATTGTACTTCAGATACAATTTGAATAATTTGACATTCAGATGCTAAAACCTTACCAAGGCCCAATGACACAGTTTTAATTCAGGAAGGCAAAACCCTTTTAAATGGGTTTATCATACTCATAAAACAGGCCCAAGGAATTTGTCCCTTGCCCCATGAGAGTACAAAAACAAAGGTGCCTTCCTCAGACAACCTATCAGTCAGTACCTTGAGCTTGGACTTGCGGCACCCAGGATCATAAGGTATAAATGTCTGTCGTTTTCAAGTCGCCCAGTTTTGTGATATTTTTTATAGCACCCTTAATGGACTGAGGCATTGTCTCTCAATCGGTAAAAATAGAATTACAGTATGTCTATTCTAAAAGGTGTGTAAGAATTTGCTAGCACAGAGGATACCCTCATAAAGATGTCTCACTTGAGCTACACAGTGAATTCAAGGCCAGACTAGGCAACCTGATCAAAATAAAAAGGGAGAGTCCATATACTCAAATATGGAGTATAAAGATGACCAGGGCTGAGCCGGGCAGTGGTGGTGCAAATCTTTAATCCCAGCACTCATGAGGCAGAGGCAGATGGGATCTTTGAGTGTTTAAGGCCAGCCTGGTCTGCCAGAGCTAGTTCCAGGAAACCCTGTCGAAAGAGAGAGAGAGAGAGAGAGAGAGAGAGAGAGAGAGAGAGAGAGAGAGAGAGAGAGAGAGAGAGAGAGGAGAAAAAAAGAAAAAGATGGTCAGGGCTCTAGCTCATCTAGTTCAGTAGTAATGCATACAATACACAAAGCCTGCAATGTGCACACAAAGCCCTGGGGTCAATTCCTAATATACAACAAAAGAGGAGGAGAAAGAAGAGGAGGAAGAGGAGAAGAAGGACAAACAGGAAATAAACAAGTCAGCTACTGAATTAGGATCTCTGCATCTGGAATGACAAGTCCTGCCACATAAACCAGTAGGCAGTAAAAACAACATGGCTGGGATCAAATGTTCACAAAGAGAAGACAGAGAGCTGCAGACTCAGGACTCAGGCAAACTCAGATTGCCGCCCCCCACCCCCCTCTCCCCCACTTCTTCAGATAGCTCCAAGAGAGCACTCACTTCATTCCAGGCCTCTTTTTGCCTTTGGTGCTGCAGCCTGAAGCTTTTTTACTTAAAATATTAACTTGAAACAACCACTAAATAAATAAATAACAACTTCCTTCAGTTGTCTCCAACAACTCTTCCCAGCCAGAGCCAATGGCCCTAAGTAGTTTTTAAAAGTCACACAAGCAAGTTTTTAATTATTACAATTAGGCATAAATATGAAAATTCAAATAGTAAAAGAGGACAAAGAAAAACATTCCACCTTTGCATCCATCTTCCTTCACAGAGGCACCACTGTTGGGTTCCTTGTACACTGCTCCCCACAGTCCAAGCTGGCTCTCTGTAGTTTTTCACCCATATATACATACACTCTGTTCTACTCTGTGTGTGTGTGTGTGTGTGTGTGTGTGTGTGTGTGTGTCTTTCTCTGCTCAGTCTTCTATCTTGGCATTAGTTCATTTATGATGAGTCCACACTTCCTACGAGCCACAAATGATTCCACCGCATGACTTTGGTTACAATTTTAACAAATCTCCTGTGTTTCTATATTCTCATTGTTACAACAAGAAAAATTCATAAGCAACACCATGCTTATAAACACATCTTTGTAAATAAAAACCCCGATCCATATATTAAATACGTAAAACAAATGAAGCTACCAGGGCAGTGGTAAAACCAGTTACTTCCAATCACCACCATACCCTGCAGGACTTATAAATTAGGTCAAATACTTTAGGTTGACATTAGCGTCTCTCTTTCTACTTCACTGCCACTTTCTGGATCACCGGATCCTGAAACTATACTTAGGACAGTTACTGGTACCCTCCCCTCTTAGACCAAGAGCCTCCTCATTTTAGCAACATTTGATACCAACAGCTACCACAGCTTTCAAGGGCCTCCTGCTCCTGTCAGAACAATGTACTGTGCTGGTTCATTTCCATGGCAGCCAGCCCTTCTTCTCCCTGGAACCCTAAAGACAGGCAGAGCCAATCTCGGACTCCCTTTCTCCTCTATAGATTGCCACGTGATAATCCCGGAAGCGTGGAGACTTTACCCGGATCCCAACTGTCTGCTGATCACCTCGAGCAAGAAACATGATGTCCTTGTCCCCACACTTCAAAGAACAAGTTAAATATGCATGCAGCTCTGGCTGTCAGACACTCACTCACTGGACCACACAAATCTGACGGGCTGAGACTGCTCTCAAGCCTTTCCAGCTCTTTGAACAGAACGCTTCAACTAATGACTCTCATGGTCTCCCCCTTTCTTCTCCTTCCCGTGCGACGGAGTTGCCAGATTCTACCAAACCTACCGGGGAAATGCCTTGGTGTATCTACCCTACCTGTGGGTTAGATCATTGCTTCCTTAGCTTCTGTCCCAATCCTGATGCCACCAGAATTACTTGCTGGGCACCAACACCACATCTGCCTGCCTTCTCAGGCATATGGCTTCTGTAATCGTTTCCTGCCTCGGGGGCCTGGACTCAAGGCCTACCCTGAAAAGACACTCACAGCACCCCTCCAGACGGTCCAAGTCACTCAATTTTGCCAATATATCCTCATCCCTCCCTCACTAGACAATGGGCTCCTAGAAGACACTTACCAACACCTCATCTGCTGGCTACTCCAGAACCCAGCATGATGCCGTCCATTTGTCCATTAATAAGAGTTTTCTAAAGTTACCTGATACCATTTTCTAGCACATGTTCATATTACTCCAAAAAAGAACTCTTTATAATGTAAATCTTTACTAAAAAAAATATTTATTTTAAAGCCAACTAAAAGACTTTGGGGTCTATTTATTTTGTATGACTATGTGTGTAAAGAAACAGATACACTCCTGGGACTCACTCTCATACACTCATATACACATCAAATGCCCTAAAAAGTTGTAGAAGTAACTTGAAAATCGCACAAGCAAAACTTCCAAAAGCACCGGTATTTAATGGCTATGTATCAAGATATTTTTTCTACTTGCCAATAGGAAAACAGATTCAAGAGAGACCAGTAAAATCTCTTGACTTTATGATCCTAATCGGCTGTCAGAACAAGCAAACACTGAGCTCTGAAGCTGACAATATGACTCAGAGAGAAAGGCCATATGGTAAGTCAAATGTCCAAGAACTGAAACAGCAATAAACACAAATGCTTTTGTGTGACCTCTGCCCGTCAACTTGGAGGGCATCCACTTAGATGTCCGTCGTTCTCTGAAGCTAAACTCACTGAGAAGTTAACTTTCTGACTATATCGTTCTAAACTGATAAAGAAGTCACTGAAAAGGGTTTCAGAAAGTCAAAAGAGGAGAGTCATGCTGCAAAGCACTACTTTGTAGGAAAATACACTCTAAATGTATTCGCCACTTGTGCCCCCTTAACAGCCTTAGTCAAAAGCCACGTGACTCTCCTTCAAGGAGTCAAAACTTTGTTGAAGTTTCCTCATGCCCCCGTGTAAACCTTAAGAACTGCTAAGTTACTGATTGGGTCCACGTTCATGGGCTGGAAAACCTCTCCGGATTAAAAAGTAGCATGATTAACAGAGACGTCTGAGTTGGCACAAACGAGGGTATGCCTGACAGCTCGGGGAGCCCCTCACACTTCCATGACCTCCCAAATATTTCACTTCACGAACGTGGTCCCTTGGTGTTTTTTTTTTTTTTTTTAAAGGGCGAACAAACTAGCCTCACGTTACTGGGATGGGTACGGTACAGGGAATTTCCCCAGCCTCGCAAACACTTTCCCTCAGAGTCCCCTTTTCAACACAGGAGACCTTTCCTCATCCGGGCCACCACGGCCACTGGCAGGACCAGGAGGCTTAGGGGTTTGTCCCTTTTAAGTCCAGATTGGCCTGTGAGCGGAGCTGGAGACCGGCTGCCCGGGGTTGGGGTGTGGCGAGGTTGGGGGGCGGGCGGCCCCACTCACCTGCGATTCATGGGCCGGACTCTCACGGCCACCTTGACCGATGCCATGGCTCATCACGGCCCGGCCCGCGGGGGCTCCCACCAGGCCTGCACCCCGCGGCCGCCGGCCACTCCAGCAACTGTGCCCGAGCCCCCGCCCACTTCCCTCTCACCCGCCCCTCGGCAGGGGCCGACCAGGAGTTGCTAGGCGGCCACACCTGCCAGGCCACTGAGCATGCCCAGAACGGCTCCGGCCCGCGTGATCCGCGCACCGGGGTTTGGCTGCTGCCCACGGTGCGGAGGGGCGGAGCCCGGAAGCCTGGGCACCGCCTCCTGGGTGGCCTCGCCTAGGAGTCGAAGGCAACCAGCTGTGCTCACCAACTAACTGGCAAAGCTAAACCCTGTCAGGCCCTGAGAAACAAGGAAAAGGAAGATCACTGTATTTAGGATCTTCTCAAGGAATCCGAGGAATTCATTGCCGAAAACGAACTTTGCAACCATTAACATGGGATCTGGCTTTTTTCAGCCCGTGCTAATCAACTCATCTGTCTTGCTGAGAAGCAAACAGTCGTACAATCTTACAGGGGGAACTCCTAGAGACTTCCCTGATTCTTGAGAAAGGTCTAAGCATGTGTTCTGAACCCCACAATTTAAGATACCAAGGAAACAAAGGATCGAGGATGTTTCGGGCAGATAGGAGGAGTTTTTGCATTTTTATGAGTTTGGCGGTTTAACTTTAGTCATAGGGGGACCAAACGTGAGGACCTGTGTGCTCTTTCTTAAGAGTTAAAGCCTTTAGCAGTAATGACCTCTTACCATACTCTCTTGCTATAAATTCATTCATTTGGCCCTGCCATCTTACAACCCTCATCTCCACCTGTGCTCACAAAAACTCAGGCATCAACTGTCTTCTTCCTTCCCCATTCAGGGCAGCTCACGACTTGCAGATCAGCTCTCCTCTGAGACCCTGACGTTCTACCTCTGGACTCGCTGATAAAAGAGTGTAACACAAACGGACTTACACTACCTAGCCCTCGAGGTCTCTAACCCGGTCACCAGAGAACGTTCTACCCTCAGGACCTTCATATCCCCGCTCCCGGGCGTAGGACTCGGGTTCAAAAGGACTCTTCTAGAGAGCTCAGTCGTGATGCTCCCACACTCTCTGCAGAAAGCCAAAGCGGGCTCCCAGTTGTTAGTTCCAGCTACAAAACTAGCTTTGAGTCTTCCAGTCTTGCGTTGGCGGGCGCTCAACTCCGAGGTGGCTGCCTCGCCTGCAGATCTGGAACCCCGAGAGTTTAGAAAATGGACTGAGATGGTATGTCTGCCAACGTATTGTCCACTAGCTCCAGGAACCGTCATTTCATCGGCTTTCCTAGAATCCTACAAGCTAAGTTAGAATCAGAGCGTCCCCTTTGTTCGGGACCCCAACAAAGCCGAGAGGCTACTGCTAGGGTAGCTTAGCAATGGGTGCAGAGTCAACCAATGAAGGGCAGGAAAGCTCGGAGTGCTGGAATAGATGAGCGTGCGCAGTAACAGAAACTGCCGGCTAGCCTAGGCGCCGCGGTTAGCCAAGCAGCTTGCCGCTTTCGCAGTCACAGGCAGGGGCGGAGCCCGCCGTCTATGGGAGCTGTATAGGGACAAACTGTGGGATGTGCTCTGGGGCGGCAAGACTTCAACACCCAGAAAGCCAGTTACAGGTGGAAGACGTCTGTACTCAAGTCAACCGCCGCAAAATCCACCCCACTCTGAAGGACAACAGTGTTGAGCTGTAGTTTACTTGTTAGGCTGATTTCCTGTACCTGATTTTTATTTGCGTTTGGGGTTATACAAGCCGGTCTGTCCACTATTTCCAGCAACCTGCATGTTTATAATCCTCTGCTTCCAGCACATTGCTATTGGACACAAAACAGGCAAGGTGCAGCTGCCCACGGAACCCAATCAGCAGGTCTGCAGATCTTAAATTAGAAGCAGTGAGGTTTTTCACCACAGACCTGATTAAATAGGCACTCCCTTGATTAAGAGAGGGAGAGAGAAAAGAGAGAAGAGAGGAGAGAAGAGAAGGAAAGAGGGAGGGAGGGAGGGGGGGAGGGAGGGAGGAAGGNAGAGAGAGAGAGAGAGAGAGAGAGAGAGAGAGAGAAAGAGAGAATATGCTTGTATGCTTTTATAGTGTAGGGAGGGAGGGAGGGAGGGAGGGAGGGAGGGAGGGAGGGAGGAGAAGAGAGGGAAAGAGAGAAAGAGATAAAGAAAATTACAGAGTGAATGGGGTGGATTTATAAGATAAGGGGCTTGCTCTTCTCAACTTTAGTGAATGCTCTGGTACCTCTTTTGTTTCCATCTTCAGAAATGTTAGACAGACTTCCAGGATTTTACCTACACGGAAGCTTCCTCTGGAACTCAAGTATTGAGGATCTCCAAACCCTGAGCAAAGCATCAGTGTGTATAAGGACACCTGCCAGGAAGGCAGCTGCTCGGAAGAAACACTGAATAATCTTAAAGTCCCTGAACTTGTATGGGGGAAAGAACAAAAACCCGCCTCTTTATAGTCAGCCTTAGAGAAAGGTGCAGCTATTGTAGCAGCTGGGAGTTTGATGATATTAGAAATCACTGATATTTTGTTCTAAACCAAAACTGTTCCAGCTCTCTCAAATTGTTCTTTTATTTTGACTCTGGAATCATGACAATTGTGAAACTGATACTATAACTTGTTATTTAACAAAAGTATATATATGACTTCACTTCATCACGTTTATTTTCTATATTTTGGTTCTTGTATTTCAGAAAAACTGATTTTCTTTAGAGTCCTCTTATATCGTATATTTTATGGACTTGAAAATGTTACTCTGTGGCTGGAGAGATGACTCACCAGTTAAGACAAAGAAGCATTTAGTTGCCAGCACCTATACATCTGGCAGCTCACAACCACCTGTTGCTTCACTCCAGGTGATCCAATATCCTGTTCATATGAACAGGGGTGTGTGTGCACATGTGTGCACAAACACACACACACACCGACACAATTAAAAAATAAATCTTGTTTTTAAAAAGAGAGAATAACACTGTAACCAATAAAGCACATGAATTTGTATAAGCATGTATGTATGGTTTTGTTTGGTTTCTCGTCTTTATTGTTGAACTTCTTCCTGATTATTAAGCAACCTTATCATTTCTGAATAGGTGTCCATGATTGAAAGTCCCTAAGTCTTTGCATCTTCAGTACAGACTGAGAAAGCCTGCAATACCATGTTGACTCCACTTCAAGACATTTGAGTCGGCTGGAGGAAAATATTACAAACACATTAGTTAAACCTTAATGATAAAGGTTTCTGTCTTGCCTGGTCCCACAGCTGTTCATTCCCAAAGAAGCACACAAAGACTTTATTAATTATAAACTGGTTGGCCTATTAGCTCACACTTCTTATTAGCTGTTATATCTTACATTAACCCATAATTCTTGTCTATGTTAGCCACATGACTTGGTACCTTTATAAGTGAGGCATTCTCATCTTGCTTCCTCTGGGTGATAACTGCAGACTGAGCCTTTCCTCTTCCCAGAATTCTCCTATTCTGGTCACCCAGCATGTATTTCCTGCCTGGCTACTGGTCAATCAGCATTTTATTAAACCAATACAAGTGACAAATCTTTCCAAGGTACAAGACCATTGTCACACAGCACTTCCCTTTTTTTTTTTCAAAACAAGAACTCTGAATCTAATCTCCTTTGTAGCTTTCTCCCTCATCATTAGCCATAACAACTTGTAACCAGCACTCTTAAACAAAGACAAACATCCATAATTCATATTTTGGGAATGTGGATGTAGTTTTCTAGTCTACTTCCTACTGATTTGGGGGTGCTGATAATCTTATGGGGGACCTAAAGAAAATTTAGGATTATGGTCAAGTCCTGTCTGGAATATTCTCTGAGGCTAGATTGTCTCAACCAGCAGTATTGAGGCTGTTTTTGATGGAGAACTCAGAGGAAAGTCCAACAGAGGTCCTCTGAAATGTTGGACCATCTGGGCCACCTGCTCCTATCAGAGATTTTTCAGGGGGACTTCCTTGATCAAACCTGATTTTTCTTAACCCAGAAAGAATCCACAGCCTCTCATTTTCTGTAGAAACAAAAGCAAAACCTCTTCTCCAAAGTAACATATCTTTTGACTTAAATTTTGAAGTCAAGAGCCAGGCGGTGGTGGCGCATGCCTTTAATCCCAGCACTCGGGATCAGAAGCAGGTGGATCTCTGTGAGTTCGAGGCCAGCCTGGTCTACAAGAGCTAGTTCCAGGACAGGAACCAAAAGCTACGAAGAAACCCTGTCTCAAAAATCAAAAAAAAAAATATTTGAAGTCAAAGAACTTTTGAAACATATAAGTTGTATTAATCCAGCAACATTTGTAATCAAATGTCTTTTAGCAGCTCTTCCTCCTTTGTTAGCCATCAAACCATTCAAAGACAACACAATAATGTACCACCACACCCAGCTGCTTGCTTGCTTCCTTCCTTCCTTTCTTCCTTCCTTTTTTAGTATTTTATCCTTTTTCTTTTCTCTCCAAAGCCTACATATATTTTAAACACTGTAAACTATTTAGAGTTCTTTTTGGGGGGGAGGAGGGTCTGAATCTATATTTACTGTATAGCGCTCTTTTCTGATCACATGAGTCTTTAATTTGCTAAATAATATGGCTAAGATTAAAGCCATAACTTTGACGGCTGGATCTACCCCATTCCTTAGCTTTCTGAGAGTCTGTCTTCATGATGGAGATACTGGCGGGAGCCATGTTCATTGCCACAACTCTTTAGAGTTTCAAGGTCCCTGCCACCACCAAGAAGTATGCTGTCAGATATTCATGAACACCATTTAAATGTTTGGTGGCAGGGCCTCATAAAAGAGATGCAAGGATTTTGCAGCTAAAGCTGAGTCAGGAAGCTTCTCTGAAATGAGATGCGCTTGCCTCTACCAAACACAGTCCACCCGAGAAAATGCAGCTACCAAGAAGCTGCACTTAACTGTTCTTTTTGTGTCTAGAATTCCTTCCAACTAGGTGGTGGTGGTGCATGCAACAGAAACCAATCTAAGATGGCTGCAAACCAATGAGCAAAAATACTCTCCTGTTTTTCAAAACCTGTTCAATAATATCAGAAACAAATGATAGGCATCA